GATATAGGAGTCCAGAGAGGCAGAGCGGACTGTATGTACAGCTCAGTATGGGGGCAGCAGTTTTACATATTGAATCCCCCTTTCTCGTTTTGGGGTTTTTATTAGTTTGCTGCAGCAGCAAACAAAACAAATAAACTGACAAAGACTACACGAGAGAAGAAAGGCAGCACAGTTCATACGAATAAGTTTGCACTGTATGTACACCCGAAAGTGGAATTAAACATGCACTGATAAAACGCTAAATAAATACTACGCAAATAAATAAATAAAATAAAATGAGAGAAAATAAAGTAAAATAAAATAAAATAAAATAAAGTAAAATAAAGTAAAATAAAATAAATAAATAAACATTACAGATGTTGTTCAGAAAAGACGAACAAATGCATTTTTGTGTAAATGAAAACTTTCTTTTGGGATTTCCTCCCCTCTGGAGTATTTATTTTTAATTATATTATTATATTAATATAAATTTAATTATTATTAAATTATCATATTGATATAAACGGCAAAAACATTTCTTATACTGCTGCTGTGAACAGCTGAGCTGTACATACACCGCGTGATGTCCTGCATGCAAATGCAGTGTTTGGTTCTTTGGGGGGTTCAAACAGAATTATATAAATTAAATTTCAGTTCATTCCTCTGCGACAAAGAAATGCATGCATGCATGCATGCATGCATGCATGCATGCATGCATGGTAGTTTAAGCTGCTTTTCTCTCTCTGCATCGTTTGTTTTTTTTTTATTTCTTCCTCTTGGAGTTTGTAATACATTTAAAATGCTGATATCTTCTCTTTTATTCTCTGTTAGCTGGTTGGTGTTTAGTTTATACAGATGCTGACGTTAAGCAAAAACAAACACATACTAATGTATCATCTGCAGCACAGCACCTGTATATGCATTGGAGGGGAGAGAGAGAAAACAAAAACAAAGATAAAGAACAGCGGTGGTGTTTGTTATTCTATTTTTTTTTTGTTGCAGCTCACATAAAAAGAAATAAAATTTAATAATTAATTAAATTAAACTAGAATGTATTCATTTTGCTCTGCTGCTACACGACAACACCTAGCAGGTGAATGCACTAAAATATAAAAAATTATTTCATTTGCGGTGAAGACATTCAGATAGAAAGAAAAATAAAAACTTATAACAACACCCCACATTAAAAGATATACTCTAGCTCCTTATACACTGCTAGCTGTGTTCAACTGCATATACACCTGAACCCAGTGGTGGTTAGCTGCCGCTAGCTGCAGCTAGCTGCTGCTAGCTGTGGGTAGTTGCGAGCTTTTCTGCCGTAGAGGACGGAATTGTTTATATTTATTTTGTTTTGTAATTTGCTTAATCCTTAACACACGATAAAAAAAAAAAATTAATAAGTTTCTTGCATCGTGGTCTGAGTGCATTCTTCTCGCTATCACCCCCAGAGGAGATGTAAATTTCTTGAATTTATTTTTTTATTCATGAAATACAGAATATAACGACAACAGCCGTTGGCTGTATACAGCTGTGCTGCGTGTTCATACTTTCGCACAGTTTGTGTGGTATCGAGCAAACACGAATAAATTTAAATAAAGAAAAATAATATTTAAATAAAAAAATACAGATTTCCCCTTTATATTCCTTCAGTTTTTATCACCACTGCTACTCTATACGCAAAGAAAAAAGAAG